GATTTTTGTTTCTCCCTCTGGCTTTACCTGTGAAGTTCTACAGCAGCTATTCTGTTTTTTTTTTTTTTGTTTTTTTTTTTTCTTGCAGAAAAGTTTCCCCTAAAGCTCCATCTGGTGGGCCAGCATTGCCAGATGTGGCTGAGAGTTCAGAGATTCCAGAGGTGCAGGTTAGACACAAAAGCAAAAGCTACTTATTTTGTCTTTTGCTTGATTTTTGTTGTTTTTTTATATACATATACAAGAAAGGTATATCAGCCCTATAGTTAAAAAGTCATATGCAAAAATTATTTCTGCATTATTTATTTCTACAGTTTTCTGTCAGCAGTGTTAAAGTTTCTATTTGACTAGAAGATTAGAGTGGAAAATGTTCAGGTTTCAATTTTACAATTTTATCTCATTTTTATTCATACAGCTGTTTTGTTTTTTTTTTCTTTTTTTTCATTTTCATTAATGCATCAATCTTTTGATCCCTTATTAGATTTCTTCATCCATGCGGTCAGCTGTGTGTTTATCTTAGCATGCTGTGTGCAGGGCTCTTATTTAAGGCATGGTTGCTTTAAAAATATCCGCCATAATACAATATTTCATTTTTATTCTAAAGAAAAAAAATGTCTGGAATCCTAAAAACCATTGCATTTTCACTTTTAAAAAAAGGAACCATGTAAAATACATCATAACGACAATCAAATGTGCGTAATGAATGTTATAAAACAAATAATTGCTCTTGGATTTCCAAAGTTAGGTAATAAAATAGAAGACATCCTTTAATTGTTTCCAACAGGAGCAGCAGGGCTTCCATGCGAAGTGCTTTTACAGTGATCTGCCTGCTATCCAGGCCCTCCTAGAGTCCAGGGAGTGGCTGATCAATAGCAGTGATTCTCACGGTCGTCGCCCCCTGCACATGGTCCTGTCCTCACGTGGCGCCTCAAACACCTGCCTCAGATACCTACTGGAGCATGGAGCTGATGTAAACGCGTAGGCGCCTTTCTTAAAGAAATATTCTTTCATTTAATAACAAACACTTTGTGAAATTTCTACCAGCAATGTATAGATAAAAGAAATTGGATAAACAATGTTTTATTCCCAATTAGCACTACAGTTTTAGGGCAGACCCCTCTGCACTTTGCTGCCTCAGAGGGCCTGCTTGAGAGCACAGAAATCCTTGTGAAAGCCGGAGCAGATCTTTTGGCGAAGGACAAAATGGGGCTCACCCCTCTGGACATGGCCCACATCTGGTGCCACAGGAAAGTAGCAAGGTACCCAGCTAAAGCAATCACCCAGCTCCAAACTGCAAGCAGCTCAAACATTTATTTAGTTTTTTAAAGCTCTTATGTGTTCAGGTACTTAAAGCACAGCATGTGGCATTGTGAGAAGATGAAAGAAATGGAGGAGATAAAGCTGACTCATGTTTTATACAGAGATCTCATCAATAAGGTCGAGCAGGATCATCTGGTCAAAAAGGTGAGCAAATTACTTAAAATTTCCAACAAAACAGCACAGACTTTATGTTTTATTTGGACATTATTTAATAGAAATATGCAGTGTTGCGAAATTCCTTTAAGCAAGTGTTAAATGGTCTGTGTGTAATATAAATATAGTCAGTATAATTCCAGCTGCTAATTGCCCCAGATGTTTATTGGAGAACATTAGTTAAACAGCATCATGAAGACCAAGGAACACAGTAGATTGGTCAGAAAGAAAGATCTAATGAAGCTAAAAATCAGGATTAGGTTAATGAACAATTTTTAACTGTAGACAAAGAATTTAAAAGTACAACAGGAGCAACACAAACATGGTTCTATAAGACAAAATCCTTATAAAATACTTTTGAGTTGGTGTTTTTTAAGCCGAAAACAGTTTAACAACGTTCATATAAACATTAACTACAGAGGCCATTTCTCTTTTTTATTCAATAGACTCGTAACCATGACAAGATGGAAGAGTGGGCGAAGAAGAAAGGCTTTCCTCCTTTAAAGGAGCTCCCCCCGAAAACCCCGGTGTCCAAATACCACGATCGGTGTGTTTTACCAGAGCAGACCAGCTGTAAACCCAAACCTACTAAGAGCCAGTCACAAGGCCTTCAGAAAAACAAGGTTATCTCCAAAACAACGCAACCCACAGTCTCAACAAACATCCCCCGGACCGTCTTCATCAGCCCCCAGCATGAGAAACCCTCTGTAGAGCCAGATCTCAGGGAAAGTGTAACCGTGTGGGAGGACAGCAGCAGCCACAGGCTTCAGTATATCACCAAGTGGGACACAGAGCCACAGCCGACCCCCAAAGCGCCGAGAGATGTTGTCGAAAGAGTGTTGTTTCCCAAAGCCTTCCCTTCTAGGATGGCCACGCCTCTGGGCTTTAAGCCACAGAACATCGAGGAAGTCCAGCACCGAGGACATCCCCAGGGGAGGAACACCTCTCCCTGGACTGAGGTGGCTATGCACCTGGCTGAGGTCCTGGAGCCGGGGCACTATTGAGCTTACGCATTCCAGGGCAATATAATCAGGTTTAAAGGGGAAAAAAACAAAAAAACAAAGGCATCAATATTTAACAGACATTTCTGAATAACTAACTCCTTTACAGTGTAAACAATCTTCCTGGCAGCACAGACTTGATCAAGTATCTTTCAGAACGAGCACAAACATCCTGAAACCAGAGGATGAGGTCATAATGTGCACATCTGAGGTGCAAATGTGTTAAATAAGAAATATAATCTGACTTCTAAATACGTTTCTAATTTATAATTATGACAACGAAAAATATTTTCCACACCTTTTCCAAATTTAAATTTGCATATCTTGTAAACTTCAAGGTGAAAAGCAAAACATTTAAGGGAAGAATACACTTTTCCATACTTTTTAACTTTCAGTGTTCATTAGTTTAGAGGTTGTTTCAGTGATATTTTTAGCTTTAATCGATCTGATAAGCCTAAAATTAAGTTTTATTCACATTTGCATCCTTGAGCTAATGCTCAATGTTTGCAGTCAGGATAAAAAGTATTAGAATAAGCCCAGCATAGAAAGATATGAGAAGTGGAAAAAATAGATGTACTAAATATAAAGCCAGCAAATATAAACGCTGTCTGTAAAGCTGCAGCGATTTCTCACAACTACTCCTAGCGTTCTGCTCATGAAAAATCTTTATTTACCACATTATTGAATTTAAGATGAATTAGGATTATAGGACAAGTTTTCCAAGTTAAAGTTCACGGCTACAACGTTTTCAGCTTAATGAATAAAAAAAATACATCCACAGAACATCAAGAGTTGTGCAGAAACAAGTTTTCATTTTACAACAAAAAAAGTATGTCAATACATTTTTACTGGTCCAAAACATACAAGTACCCTCATACTACCCCTATATCTAAGCACTGATGGACTCTTATGAACAAGAACTCTATCTTCCTACCATCTTATCGATAAATAGTCAAAGTGGTTCTTTTCAGAATTGTACATCTGTAATACTCTTCAAAATCAAATAGGTGTGTTTTTTTTCCTAGTTTAAGTAATAAATGTTCATTTTGTGGATTTGAGGGGGAAACTATTGAGCATTTTTGTTGATTGTGTCCGTGTCGCTTCTTTTTGGTTCCATTTGCAAAACTCTCTCTCTCAAAAAATAAATAAAAGATGTTTTTCTGCACAAATTGGAAATACTCCTTATAATTACGAATGCAAATCTAACATAGCAAAATAATTAATTTAATAATCATTTTTGGCAAAGTATTATCTACTTGTAGAAGACCTCTAAGTTTATTTGTGCATTTTTAATTCATTTTGTTTTTATATTATCTTCTTTTCTCTTATGCTAACTTTACATGTAAGATTCAACTATTATTGTACTAAGTTGTATGTTGTCAATAAAGGTTTGTTAATAAAATAAATAAGTAAATAATAATAATAATAAACACTTAAATGTTTGCTAATGCTAGCTTAAGCGGACTTGCCAACCGGCTAAGTTTGAACAGAGGCTGGCGCACAACGCACCACCTAGTGACAAAGTGGAGTTAACCCTTTAACGAGCTCCTTTAAATAGCCAAGACAGACAAAAATCTCCTAAAACCAATTAGCAAAAGTAAAGAAGATACCAAACTGGTGCTTTTGATTTACTCCAGGTGGGCCGATAATATAAGACATCATTGCCAATCCTCAAGCTGTAAAACACGATGGTGGTAGAGTTATGCTCTGTAGACATTTTCCAAATGGATGAAGCTTTTAGGAGTTCCAAACAACCGTAGGTTTTTTTACTCAAAATCCATCAGCTGTCTGCATTAAAACTAAAGGTAAAGACAGGTTGGATTGTTTTTGCTTTGCTAGGTGTGTGACTATACACCCAGATCCAGGAAAGGGGGGCTTCATGAGCAGAAAAGGATCGATGAAAAAACTAGTCAGTTAATTTCTGAAGATTCTGAGAACTTTCACAATAAAGCAGAAACTCATGTAAAAGTCTGGAAGCTTAAATGTCATCCAAAGGTGCCTGAATTTGAATATGAATAAAGAATGAGCCCATGACGAAATGATTGCCTGGTTGAAACATACAGGATGTCTGTCACATGAAATGAAGAAAAATAAAAAATGTTGAAATGGTTCGTCGCCACCTTTGAAACTTGGAATGTGTTCAGGTGAGCCGCTGAACATCACAGTTTAACAAAATGTGCCTAAAGTGACAACCTTAAACGTGTCATACACTCCAGGTACGAGCTCAACAAAAGCTAGGCTGGCACACGGTGGTGGAGGGGTGAGTGAAAGGTGAGAAAACCTCACTGAACTGGGTCACCTGTCACAGATGTGTGCGCCTCCACTGAGCCGCCGCAGGGATGTGAACCAGGACTCAGGTGAAGTCTTCTGGATCCAAACCTTAAGTCACAGCCTGTCGGCTGAAGGCGTTTGGTGTGGTCATCTTCCTCCTTTACTTCATGAAGCATTTCACACCTCAGACAGGGTCAGAGGGCACACCACCATGAACCTGGTGCTCCCCCTGAGGCCCGGTCACCTCAAATAATCTGAATATTTTCTAACCCCTCGTTTCATTCAAACATCAACAGCTAAATCCAAATGTTATTTTCCATAAAAGTTTTTATTTCACAGCTGTGTGCATAGCAACCTATGATGAATCCTGCGAACATTCTCATCTGCTGTAGTGTTGCCGTCATAAAGCTAAACTGTGCAGCTTTCATCTCCCGGCATCTTTCACCCTACAAACATCATTTCACAGGTTTGATCTTAAGTTTTTACATTTGTCTGTCATGTCATATTTAACCTTAGATACAAAAAAAAAAACGTTGACAGTTAAAGATTAAGAGAGGGAGGTAGCCACCAGTCAGCGCTATTGAGTGGTGAAAGAGTTAAAGCGAATCGTAGCATTGAGACCAGATTCATAGAGTGTTGCCATTTCGCTGTAACCTGCTTAACCTCCGAGTAGCAGTTTATATTCATTAGGAAAGAATTTAAAAGTTTTAAGTAAGCTACTAGACTCTTATAACAATTGATATTATTATCAAGAATAACTAGAAGCAACCCTTCTGCCAGTAGATAAAGGTCTTTTGAGTCACATAAACGCACCTTACAACAAATAAAACGTGATGGAAACAAACTCCCTAAATTTGTAAAACGAAACACTCTAGGGGTAAGAATGGATTCCTATTGGAAAAGAAATGCAAATTATGAGTCCAAAACATCCCAAAAGAAGGCAAGTATCTGTGCATGTTCTGAGTAATGACGGTTTGAGACTTCCCTAAAGAGTGTGAGATATTGGTTAATGTTTCAGACGCTGCCTTCAAGTGTTCAAAACAAAACTAAGATGGGAAATGGCAGAGCAGAAAAATGACCGACAACAGGTTTAACTGATCCAGAGCAACGGAACGCACTGAAATTAAGACATAAAATAAGTTTCTTTCACCAGATTTAAAAGAAGTACACTTACCACCAACCAAACTCACCATATCCATCTTAACAGACTTTAAACTCCTCCTTCAAAGTGATTCATTTAAGGATTTTCGCTTTCCGCACGTTGGCTCTCTGTAATCTACCCCTCATTAAATGGAAGCATTTTTATCCCTCCTACATGGCTTTTCTGCTACCTTAAACACGTAATCAGACAAACGCAAAAACAACAGAAGAAATCTTTAAGAGGAAATCCAACAATGATTTATCCATCCCAGCCAACATTTTCAGTTTGTCAGTTATTGTTTCAAATCACACATACATTGCCTCAATACTAAAGCTTAAAAAATTATTGTGATGATACAAAAATCACTGCGCTACTGTCAGGACTGTAGATGTTGTTGGCAGTTGGAACAAACCCAAAGATGAACGTGGCTTTTGTAAACTCAATCATCCAGTCTGTTCGTTGGTCCGTCCTTTTTGTGCGTTTCCCCCCCTTGTTGTTTTGGCTGCTGCTTTGCTTTTAGTCAATTCCACCAAAAAACTGTCCGCCGTCCTTCCTGCATTACCATTCCATGTCCAACTTCTCATCACACCGACTCGTCCCCAGCCCAGAGTCTGCACCCCCGAGTCCTTCAGTACATTTTCTGTCGACTGGGAAGTACCGCCTCCTTTAGGAAGGAGAATACAAGAAGGATCCCGGACCTCTTGCCTCGTTTTCCCTTGGTGAAATAATTAGACACCACATCATCTGGAAAAAGAAAAAGGAATAAAGACAAAGATAAAACATTTAAAAAGGAAAGTCTTCAAGTGATAATAAATAAATTGATATCAAATGGGTAAAGAAATGCATGTAAATCTTTTAGCGCAACTTTATTGTTAATGTAACAATTTAAGGTTTAAATTTAAAGTCATATTTACTCAAAATAACAAGAATTTACATTGTGACAAATAGGGGCAACCAGAAAACAACTTTTACATTTCAAATACAATACCGATATCGCAACTTGGAGTGCTGACTAATACCGATATTGACCCGTTATTATAATAGCATTATTTCTGCAGGCTTTTATTAGCTACGCCAAGGAAGTTATGTGTTTAGTAGAATTTGTGTATGTCTGTTTTTTTTTTTGTCTGTCTGAACCTTATGTGCACCTTAGTCTAAAAAAAACAATCCATAAAATTTAAGTGGTGACCCACAGCATATTGCGGATGTAGAAAGTTTTTAAAGGATCGTTTAACGTTATTTGGCAGAGCAAGCAGTTTCCCCCTAAACCAGAGAGTGGCAGCAGTGACTATTGACAGCTTCAGCATCGGACTCGAAAAGTAAAAAGTCTTACACTGAAGCTAAAAACGCAGCAAAGTTCAACCATGTCTAACTCGAACTCAAGTGCAGAGGGATTGAAAGAAGTTGGAGCAGAACAAACACCAGAGGCTGCAGACGCATGCTGTGCCTTATTTATCAACTTATAAAAGGATATATTTTTACCAAAGGTGCACATCATGCCAAGGAACAATTCATTAAAATCGGGCAATGTTCCAGATCATTTGATGGTTTTAGCTTTAGATGTAAGTCACGTTTGAGGTCTGCTCTCTCTGAGTGCTTTTCTTGATTTTTAGTATGGAATGATAGAAAAGCCTCGATCATTTGATATTTCCCAACCAGCGAATAATACTCAACAACTGTCCCATTTCTTATTTGCCAAAGAGTTACATAAACTATAAACCAATGCATACAGAAGCAAAGTGTCTCTATAAGCTTTCTAATAGAGATTTTAGAGGCTGTTATCCATTTTCTGGCTAATATCTGACCATTTCCAACATCAATCTTTATTGACAACCATAAATTTTTGCCCACACACCTCTGGACAATGGAGCTCTAAAAAAAGCCTTTAAAAAACATTCCTCTCATCAGCACAAATGATGTAGGCTTGTTGGTGAGAAGTTAATTTCAATAAGAAAACAGAATAAAGGTGCAAACTCTTCTCTTGGTTACAGAGATGCAAGTTATCGATTAATTAATTAATCTAAAGTTGATCGATCCTATTGATCAACTAACAATTAAATAGCAATTTTCTTCAAATTTTGCGTTTTCTCTCAGGGGATCTTTCCACAACATCAAGAGATAAAACTTTATTCAAAATATGCTAAATTAAAAAAAAAGTACATAATATTTTAAACATTTAACGTGCCAGTTGTATAAACTACTGAGTGAGTAAGCAAAAAGTGTTCTTACACATGGTTCAACATATTAGGTAACTGCATAAAAAAAATGATCAAATATGTGATATACTCCTGTTATCCAATCTACAGACACATAAAAGTATAATTAAAAGACAGGATAATTCACTGAAATGCTGTTAGACTATTTTTTATGTGCAACAATCTGGTGGGAGAGACTTTGTGTTGTTAGCAGCACTTTTAAACAGGCTGTTCTGGTTGCTCTCAGAGGAATGTTAAAGATCGACTCTTTGAAGGGAATTAAATCACAAAAGCTTTTCCAATTTATCTTGCTTGTTGCTAGAATGTCTTCTTCTATCATGTAACAATTTTTTTGTGATGCGTCCTTCACTTTTTATCATCACATCCTCTCCTTTTAGCACAGCAGAGACTTTGAGCACTATTTAGATAATAACTTCTGGAGTTTATATTTACAAAAGAACAGCATTAATTGAATTCTGCATCCTTATCACACTAAAACTGTGCAAAAATAATCACAGACCCGATTTTTAACATTCCTCTCTCAGCTCTGCTTAAGAATGAACATCACTACACAGTGGACATTAACAATTCATTGGATGGAATAAAAATGTTAATAAAATAAATCCTTAATCTTAGGTTGATTATTTGTTGGGCTGCAACTAACGATTATTTTGCAAAACGATTAATCTATCGATTATATTTTGATTAATAAATTAATAATCGGATAGACAAGGATTCCTTAGAGAAGACTTTTTATTAAATTATAACCGGAGTTCTACATAGAGCGTATTCACAGGCAGAAAAGGTTTTTTATCATCTTACATGCAAAATGTTATGTGTATATATATATATATATATATATATATATATATATATATATATATATATATATATATATATATATATAAGGTTTGGTTGCTCTGTCAGCTTAAGGCATGTTTGAGAGTCTCTTTACTCCAGTTAAGGATTAATCGATTATTAAATTAGTTGACAATTATTTGAATAATTGATTAATCCGATTAATTGTTTCAGCCCTAATTATTTGTTTACATCCCTACTTGGTAATGTCTCATGCATCACTCTGCTATGTTAAACTATAAACACCTTTGTGCCTAACTTTCATCAGACATAAAGTGATTTTCTGGATAACGCTCACCTCCTTGCTGCATGGTGGATGGAAGCACATTTTCTCCTGCTGATAGTGACACAAAGAAGGCAAAGGGGATGACCCAGAGGCAGATGGTGAAGTATGACAGCACCTGAAACCAGTCAACAAAAGAAAAAAACAGCACAGTTGGACACAAACACACTTCCAGCATTTAGAGCTATGATGAAAAGGCAAAAGAAGGAATTAAATACCTCTGAAAATGGGTAATATTCTTGTGCAAAGTATTGGAAGGCCATGTAATGGTTCGCCACCACTAACACTTAAGTATAACGAAAAAAGAAAAGTTAAATCATGACCAGATGGGAAATATCAATCTAAAATGAAATATTCTTTTATTTTGTATACTTGTTGCAGTTTATAAAAGAGAAGTAATAAAACTTGAACAAAGTGTTTCTTACTCACCACAGGAGAGGATGAAGTTGGGGGAGCTCAGCAGTATGTAGGGAAAGGTTCGCAGGAGGCCAAAATACACCAGGTTTGTAAAGAGGCCGACTACCACCATTAACAGAGGGAAGCCTTCAAAAACATAGAGACCCAGCAGCACACCTGTGGAGAACTGGACAGATTCACACACAATGAGAGTCCGCTCTGCATACCTGGAAACTAAAATGTACAGCAAACACCTATAAGATGCATCAGGTTCAACCTGCATACTCACCAAGATCATGTACTTTATTATTCGACTTGTTACTACTGTGTACTCTTCTATTAGCTCAGCCAAGTAATACAGGCCAGCCGCTGGGGGAAATAAAATGGAAATAACTTAAGAAAGAGCACTAAACATGCCTTATATCTGATTAGAAAAGAGGTGGCACTTCTAGAGCAAAGATCAGGGGCTATAGACGGTATCTGGGCATCATGAGTAAATCAATATGTAACAGGCAGTTTCTGGAGCATCTAAAAGTCAGTCAAAACAGCTGAAGTCAACAAACGAGGAGGGTGGGTTTGTGATGCAGAAAACTTCATACAATTTATGTCTAATACAGCCAGATTATTGAAAATCAAATCATTTTAGTCACAGAGATGAGTGATGTAGACTCTGAGTTTTAATGGGATGTTTGATGGTATTCTCTCTAAAATCAAGTGATAAATGCAAGATTTGTATTTTTTTCTTTTAATAAAAGGCATTTACTGTCTTTCATTTCATTCAATAACATTTCTGAATAACTTGAAATATTCTAAGGGATACGTAGGTCAGCACAGTATCAAATCCTTTATCTTAATTTCTCTCTGCTAATTTGCAACATATTTTTGATCAAAAAGGCTTTAAAGAAAGTGACAGAGGCATGTGAAAAAACTGCCATTAAGAACTTTAAGTTCCCAGACACATCATACTGTGCTCTAAACAAGGGTTCATTTGGCACTTTCACAAATGTTTTTGATTTAATTGAGTCGTTGAATCAATTATGATTTCATGAGTGGATCATTTCAGAACTAAATAGATATGACAATAAACTCTTAAATTTGCAAATATAAAATACGGAAGCAGTTCTAAGACAAATTCTGAATTTTTACTTTTAAAGTTATGCCTGTCAGTTGGACCAGCTATTAAGTTTAAGGAGTTTGTCTTTTCCAATACAATGCATTTGTTATTAAGTAGGTTATTTTTTTATTATTTGTTTCCACGTGTAAACAAACATTGATTTGAACTACTTGCACATCTGCCTTTATCTTTTAGATTGCTGCTGTGGCTTTGATCTTTGCTTCATGTCGTAAAGCTGGAGTTTGTTCTGAATCATATGATTCGATTTACGATAATCCCATACAGAGACAAAAGAACACCGGAGTTAAACGACAGCTACAAGATTAGTTTGTAATAAACTTCAGTATAAAGCGCAGCTGTGGCAAATCAACCTGGTAATGTGATAAATGAAACATTTAACTTTGTTTTCTGAAGCCCCTCTGACATTTACCTGAGCTGATTCACCTGCTCGCTGCGTTAGCATTACTAAGCTAATTCTAGCTGCTATGTTTCTGCTGTGGGCTTTTTTTCCAGCTTTAACTTACCTATCGATAGTGTGACGAAAGATATCTGGACGACCAGCGACAGCCAGCTCAGTAAATAAATAAACCACATCTCTCTGCATATGATACGACACACACAAATAAGAGAATGAAGGCTAAAATAAGCTAGCTTGCTGCTAGCCTTGTCCAACACTCCTTCCGCTGTGTTTTCAGTAAGAGCCAACAACTGCGGTAAAGACGGGTATTCTTTGACAAGAAGTTAGCTGAGGTTCTGTTACAGCGCCACCTGCGGTCGGAGAGTAAATGTAATTCCGTCAAGTTACTTAAAGTATCCTCATTTTTTATTTTTTGTTCTATTGTTATTTATCTACGGAAGAGGATTAGGGTCACTGAAAAAAAGGTTAACTGATTTTTAAGTATTATTTCAGTTTAATATGGGAAAAAATTCTGAGATTAAAGTCAGAATTCTGAGAAAAAAGTAAAAATTCTGAGAAAAAAAGAATTCTGAGATTTAAGTCAGAATTGTGAGATTTAAGTCAGAATTCTAAGAATAAAGTCAGAATTCTGAGATTAAAGTCAGAATTCTGACTTTTTTCTTATATCATACAGAAATAAAATTGAAAAATAAGTTAACTTTTTTATTTTTTTCAGAGGCACTAATCCTCTTCCGTATTTATCTCTTTATTTTTTTAATTGGTTTGTATTTCTTGCTTCATAATCGTGATTTCTTGAATGTGTAGAAAACAACTGAGACGAACTGGACAATATGAAGAAAGTTTAACTGAGTTATACTTGGAGTATCTATTCCTATAAAAGAGATTGTGAGCAGAGTATGTAAGTTGAATGAACAATAATTTGTAGATAGCATTTTTCAGGGAGATAGTAGCTATGGTTATGCTTAATAGGATTGGTACAAGATATTATTAGAATAATTAACCTAGATATTATTGCAATAATTAACATAAGGGTAGATTAAAAAGTGAATGAAGCATAGGGTCAGACTTTTTATCCAGAAAATGGCATATTTTACTTATAATCCTGATGTCTCTAGAACTTTTAGATGAAATATTGCTAATGTAAGGCTTCCGGGACAATTAATTAGCAATTAATTCACCTAGAATTCTAACTATTGATGCTGGAGAAATTTCATTTTCGCTATCATCACCTTAAGATTTCTATTTTGATTCCTGTTTTAACACAATTAAACAACAAAAAAATTATTACTTTCAATACAGGGATAATGTATTTGAATGAAGCTTGCTTTTGATTGTTAAAATCAGACTTTTAAGATTACTATTTAAAAAGAAAATAAGAGTTTATATAAATAATTAACATAAATCAAAAACAAAAGTGATCCAAAAAATAGATACTTGTGGGACTCCACATCAACTGAGGAGAGAGCCTTTAAAAGACATTTTTTTTTCTTTTTTCTTTTTCTATGCTCGAATTGTTTGGAAAACCATAGGAGAAAAAATCAATCAATTTCAATTGTATTAAGAGTATCTCATACGCTATGGTGTCAAACACCTTGGATAAGTCAAGGAATAGCGCAGTTGAATATTGCTTCCTATCCTGAAGCCTATATAGCTCCTCAGGTAGATATGCAATAGCCATGTTAAAGGAAATCTCTGTTCAAACCTTGAGGCTTTCTTTATCCGGGTCTTTTCCTGAGAAGAGATCACTCGGGACACACTCTTTAAATAACACATCATAATGTATATGTGTTAAATAACCAGGAGACATGACAACAGATTTTGATAGAAATTGTAATCTCACTCAGATCAGAGAAGTTGCTTAGGGTTACAGAAGGTAATGGTTAGAGAAGCATTTTATACATCTCCAGTCTGCCACATGATCACATCATTACATCATACACGTTTGCAGATGATGAGACATCCATGGCTCCAGCCTTATCAAAATATTACACTTTGTTCTTAGCTGAAGGACGCCGCTCCCATTCCATTCCCAAATCTTTGCCACATACAGAATGAAGATTATAACTGTATATTAGGACAGAGGAACTGTCTTAATTAAATAAACTAGATGTTAAAACATCAGTTCTGACACTCAACAGGCAGCTAATATAAAGGTGTAATAAACTCACCCATCATCAATGCTAATTATCCTAACAGCCATGTAGGCTGAATTGCTGTGATGGAAACCAAACTGATGTTCATATACACTAACATATTCTTCTTTTTGAGAAATTTGCCCAGTCTACTGTAGACAGCTTTTATAAGATTTTGGATATTAACGATTGCATGGACATCAGATGATAGTTGTTAGCCATTCTAAATTCCTCTGCTTTAGAGCTGGGCTCCATCTCAGGTTCTTTAGACTCTTGTGAGCCAATACCCTTGTAACATGATGCAAGACTGGGCAACTCCAATCCTCAAGGGCGAGTATCCTGCAACCATTATATTAATCCTTGGTCCGACACACCTGAATTAAATGGCTGATTTATCTCCTCAGTATGCATTTCATTTCTCCAAAGTCTTCTTAATAATTTAAATACTTGATTTAAATGTGTTGGATTAAGTGACACGTCTAAAGGTTTAAGGATATCAACCCTTGGGAAGTGAAATTGCCGACTCCTGAATGAAAGACATAACAGAGTTGTTAAGCACTTCTGTATACAATTTTTCCAAGAAGTCAAGTATCTAATCTGTCGTGATCAGAAAATGTGTTTTAGGTGCACAATTGTGTCATGTATCTCTTGTTCTGTAATTTTATTGAGACTCAAAGTTGAGTTGTTAGACTCCATATACTTGACTAAGTTCTTGTATACTTTGGGAATTTTTTCAGCTAAAGCTAGAACAATTTCAGTGGAAATTTCTTGAAATTTACAAACAATTTCTGTTGGGTCTAACATGAGCTTATCCCCAACTTTGAATTAGCGGCAAATGATTTCGTCCTGTTTATGATTTGCTTCATTGTAGACCACACATTTTCACAGTGCTTCTGATTTTGGGCAACTCTTCAGCATAACATTTTGTTTTTTGCAGACCTTACCTCATGGTTTAGTTTGATTCTATAATTATTATCCTTCTAAAATGTCTTGAAGTGGTAAATTAAATGTATTTTCTATACTGTTTTATTTACACTCGACAGATTTTACAATTCCTTTCATTTTGACCTTGAACTTAATCAGACTCGCAATGCGATTGTTTTTTTTCTTTCAGCGATTTTGTCACTTCAGGAGAAGAGTCATAGTGGTGTTCAGTGGATTTCTCTATCATTACAATAAGCCTGTTGAGGATCATTATTGTAGGATATATCAACCCTGTAAATGTGTTAGATTTTGGTTTTGAACCTTTAAATAATTAGTTGGTTAATGAGTCTATGAGTGACTGACTGCTCATTAGAAGTATTGGTGCTTATTGGGACAGATATATTTTAAAAAAATAAATACGTTGATGATCAGACATATCAGAACAGAAAACTAAAAAAATATATATCTTTGTCAAGTACATTGGGAAAAAAATGTGCCTATTAATGTTGCAAATTTATATTTATTCTTTTGGTTTTGTGGATAAAAAGTTTAAAATAGAAACTGGAAAGTATGTCTAGAAAGGACTAGTTTGAGCATCACAATCTACATTCATCATATTTATGTTGAAATCACCCATGAGGAAATATTCATGAAGCTTTACAAAGAGCAATTACGAGTTTATTAACATAGTCAAATATTTTTGAATGAGGGTTCTCATACCTACAGCCCATTATGGTACAGTTTGTTTCCATAAATATTGCTTACCTAGATAATTTAACACATTGATCAAGGTTAAATTCCTTCTATTCATTAAAAAAAGGACCACCCTCTCAAGTTTATTTCATCTACATTTATGAACATTATTACTATTGTCTAAAGTATAATAATATGAAGTATTTTTGGGAAATCGTGATTCTAAAATGCAAAATAAAAGAAACACTGAGGTTGAAAACAGTAAGTGCGAGCTGATCTGTGACTTTTAAGAGAGACTAGGAGCATTTAAGTGCAAGATTTATAAATTGCGTTTATCAGTTTTAATTACATTCATTTTACAGTTAGATTTTAATTACATTCTTTTTGAGGTTTTATGTAAATATTGGCTGTGATAAATCAAAAAACAGTAAATATCAGGGTCACTGCTAGTAAAAAAGCATCCAACAGAGATTCGTTACTGATCAAGTGAGCTGAATCAGCAGTTGTGGCTCCATAAGAAACCATGTTAAGGTGAAACAGCGGTTTCAAATATTCGTTCTGAGTCTTTGATAATGACCTGTCAATCTAAAACCTCCAGCTTTTTCAGCTCCTTGACAAATTTTCCTTTGCTTCTTCTGGTGCTCTGTTGACTTTTATAAATCTTTTGGATTTTAACCCTTTTCTGAAGAGGTTGAGCTTTATTTGTGTTATTCGCATTTCTCTTTATCGGGTGCTCATCAAGAATAAACATCGGGTCCTTTTAGTGATTTCCGCTACTTAAGGAGAAAGATTATCTGACTCCTGTTAGTGAATCTAAAAATAAAGGTTGGTGGTTGAGTGGTGTATCTTTGTGGGAGAGGAGGGCGTGCTTCTATAACACTACGGTCAAAAACAATATCCTTGGTCTCCAGAAAAGGAAATACCTGCTCTAAACTGTTGTTATTTGCTTCTCCTTTCCGCAGAGGCATACGAGCTGGGTTTTGTCTTTAGTACTGTAATCAGAACATCATTCATTCTAGAAAACGTCTCCAGCTCTTCCGCTGTGTTTCAAGGTTCTTAATCCTTTTTAGTTTTTATCTAATTTAGATGGAGAGGGGTTTTTACATGGACACGCATTCCTCAACAAGTGTTTTTTCCCCTGCCTCACATTTACTCATGTTTATACAGTGTTTCGGCCATTCATGTAAAAATTTTGTAAATGACAAGTTCCTTTTATATTTTGATTTAGTTTTATTTTGTAGACAGAATATATTTAAGTTAGTTAAGGGCGACAGTGGCGTTGGATGTAGGAGTTTGCCCTGAAATTGAAGGA